CTCAGTCTCCCCTCCCCCAGTGATCAGTCTGCCGGATGAGAAGGTAATGGAACGGATGGGGAAGGTAATGGAACGGATGGGGAAGGTGAGGGGATGGATGGGGAAGGTAAGGGGACGGATGGGGAAGGTGTTTTAAATGGATGGGGAAGGTAATGGAACGGATGGGGAAGGTGAGGGGACGGATGGGGAAGGTGAGGGGACAGATGGGGAAGGTAATGGAACGGATGGGGAAGGTAAGGGGACGGATGGGGAAGGTGAGGGGACGGATGGGGAAGGTAAGGGGACGGATGGGGAAGGTGACAGTCAATGGGACAGATGGGGAAGGTACGGGTCGGGCAGGTGACGGCCTTTTTCTTTTTCCTATTATGGGAGCAGTGCAGTACGTCGCGCAGCGCACATGCACACACATGTGGAAGGAGATAATCCTGCGTGTGCGTAGCGGTGTGACAAATGTCACCTGACGTGTCTTTGCTGGATACACAATCAGATCCGGCTGGTCAAAAGGCAGCCTAGGGCCCCCCGGCTGGTCAACGCAGACAGCTTGGCTCATTGCGTGAAGATGTCCCGTTCCCATAGCAACAGTAGTTCTCCTGAGGGGGAGATTGTTGTCACCATCCCCGTGGAGGACTGCAGACCCCCACCATCAACTTCTCTACTTAACCGAGCTTAAAGGAAGACTCCACGTGATTCCCATTTGTCACCTTAGTGGAAGACAGCGGCCGACGGTGGAGATCCTGCGACCTCATTTCATGTGGCGTGTCACAGGTCACGCTGACTTATTAGAAACACCAAAATCGGACATTAAAGTATACAGTCGCAGGGATCTCAAGTCTCCCTGATGTTCAGGGAGTCTCCCTCTTTTGGACAGCAGCTCCCTGATGTCCGCGAGAGAGGCATTTTCTCCCTGAAAGCTTCACTCTGAGTAAACCTTTCCGGTAAGATATCAGTGGGTAAAGTTTCAGAGTGAGGCTTGCCTCCTGGAGGAAGGTCATGTGATCTCTAGAGTAGCCTCAGAACGAGGCTTGGCTCTCAGAAGGAAGAAGCTACTTGCTGCACAGAGAGGGCGGACATAGACTACTATTGAGAGCAGGTACAGGCACTGCTGCAGGGTTGAGAGAGTGCTGTTAACCCTTTGTGGATAATATAGAATCAATTATATGTCCTGGTTGTCTAGTTATAGAGAACATTTATTTCATTTGCTGCCCATAGCAACCAGTCAGCTGTGTATCAGGGACTTTACTCCTCAGCGTTTTTTTAAAAAGGTCTTGGGCTGTCTAATAAATTGTGACCTTTACACTGACAGATACTTCATCAATTCACAAATCTGATGTGTATATAAATAAATGTATAATATTATTGTATTATTGGTATATGGATTTTATTTTACTCTGTGTGTATGTGTGTGTGTGTGTTCCAGTGATACATTTTATATATATATATATATACACACAGGTGAAACTCGAATAATTAGAATATCGTGAAAAAGTAATTAATGAGTCTCTCTCATATATTAGTTTCACCGCATAAGTTGCATTAGTGAAATAAATGAACTTTGCACCATATTCTAATTATTCGAGTTTCACCTGTATATATATATACCGTGTTTCCCCGAAAATAAGACATTGTCTTATATTTTTTTGGGCTCAAAAAAACACACTAGGTCTTATTTTCGGGGTAGGTCATATTTTTTGTTAATGTACAACAATCCACATCTATTCATGTACAAAAATATGGTGATCGGGGCAATCAGGGGCGCCGTACCTGTCCAAGAGCAATTTGGTAACCAATCGCTGGCCAGAATGAGGGAAACGCATTGTCACTATGGATTTCTCACAGGCGGGGTGCGTTTGGTATGACTCCGCCTGTGACAGGAGCCGGCGCTATAGAGGAGGCGTCGGCTTATGCGGCTCTGCTCCCTCCGCTGCCGCCTCGCTTCCTCCAGCGCCGGCTTCGTTGGCACCGCTGATTCTCTCCCGCGGCTCTTCAAGCTCCCCCCTTATGCCACCACCGGCCCCGGGAATGGTCGCAACTAGGCGTTATTTTCGGGGTAGGTCTTATATTTGAGCAATTCCCAAAAATAGTACTAGGTCTTATTTTCGGAATAGGTCTTATTTTTGGGGAAACAGGGTAGATATATATTATTATTATTTCTTTTATATTCTGACGAAGGGCACCTCCCTGAAATGAGACGGGAACCTCCCTGAAATAAGGTTTTGCAGGTTGGGATGTCTGCAGTCGTCATAAATATGATCCCCCTCCCCTCCCCCCCATCAAAAGCATCTTTAGTACTCAGTAGTAAGGAGTGGCCGAGCGCCGAACTTTATGGGATGTTCGCGGTCTGTTCGAACGTGGACATTCCATAATGCAAAATGCCCACTGAGGCTCTGATTTGTTGACCACAGGTCAGGTGCCAGACTTTGCCCAATCAGGGCTCAGCGGAGGAGGGGCCTAAAGGAGAAAGTTCTCTATCAGATCCCCCCCATGCCGATTGACAGCAGGCAGGTGCAATAGCCAGCTTGCTATTGGCTATTGCATTTTACAACATCCAATAGCAGGCTGGGTATGGCTCCCAGCCTGCAGACGAAGTGGAGGCAGGGGGGGCGGGGCAGAGGAGCCGCGGCCGGACCGAAGGAGAGAAGCCCCCCAGTGATCAGTCTGCTGCAGGCAGGGGGAAGCATTTCCTCAGTCTCCCCTCCCCCCCGTGATCAGTCTGCTGCAGGCAGGAGGGAGCATGTCCTCAGTCTCCCCTCCCCCCCGTGATCAGTCTGCTGCAGGCAGGAGGGAGCATGTCCTCAGTCTCCCCTCCCCCCCGTGATCAGTCTGCTGCAGGCAGGAGGGAGCATGTCCTCAGTCTCCCCTCCCCCCAGTGATCAGTCTGCTGCAGCCATTGATATCTTCCTTTTTCGTCCCCCTCCGGGTGGTGTCACCTGTGACTTATGCTCCCGGGGGTGTCTCTGGGGACGTTTTCTGCCTTCACCATCTTCTAGTATCCGGTTCCTGTGTGTGAAGGACGATCATCGGATCTATTTTTGGACCAGTTCAGGTATTTCATGCGTCGTAGCTCAGGCACACCTGATGAAGCCCTTTATTACTTGCAGCAGGTGTGCGTGAGACAAGGCCCGTTCTGCTCCTGCGGTCTCCTATCTGAAGATCTCGCCTGCGATACGCGGTACAGTGAGGTGACAGGAAGTCAGCCGTGCGCCTGGAAATCTCCCCCCCAGTGCCCCCAATATCATCTCTAATCTCTCCTGTGCTGATCAGCGTCGGATCCTTTCACTGAGACTTCTGTACATCATGGAACATTTCCTTTATAATGTGTACGTAGCTGCAGACCACCCCCGCGTGTGAGCCAATCCCGAGAGCGAGCGCGGCCTCCTCTCTACCTGTGTACAGCAATATTCCTCTGCGGCTCCTATTTCGTAATGACTTATAAACAAACAACAAGAATGATGAAAATTGGCCCCCAAGGGCCCCATACCAGCACACCTGTCAGCAAGGAACATGCAGAGGACTTTTTTTTTATTGCTTAGATACACATGACCTCCATCCGTCCTCCCCTTCAGTCTTCTATCTGACCTCCGCCCCTTCCCTTCAGTCTTCTCTCTGACCTCTGTCCTCCCCTTCAGTCTTCTATCTGACCTCCGTCCTCCCCTTCAGTCTTCTATCTGACCTCCGTCCTCCCCTTCAGTCTTCTATCTGACCTCCGTCCTTCCCTTCAGTCTTCTATCTGACCTCCGTCCTCCCCTTCAGTCTTCTATCTGACCTCCGTCCTCCTTTTCAGTCTTCTATCTGACCTCCATCCTCCCCTTCAGTCTTCTATCTGACCTCCATTGTACACAGTTGTACCGGCTCCTCCCCTCTTCCTCTGATGTCACTGCACACTGGGAGCTCCTCACAATGTACATGAGAAGCTGCAGCAAGTCAGATAGAGCTCCGCCTCCTTTCCTGGCTGGAGGACGTCCGGCATCATCTAGTCTTCCAGTACTCTCCAGACTGAGTGTCCCTGGCCCCGCCTCTTTTATTCATTGGATTTCAGTTCTGTCAATCATGGAGGCTCGGCATCACATGCGGGTGTTACCTGGGGGCGGTCTGTATGCAAATGCAATCTGCCTGGAACCGCCCACTCCTCTAAACTGACACCCGCCCATTAAGGCATTCTGATATTTACATAAATCCTCCCAAGACCGGCCCACTAGTGGCACCCGGGCCGAGAGCTCCTGAGAGGTGTACTGAGGCACAATGCTGATGTTTCCACTTCGGAACCGCCCCAAAAACTCCCCGGCCAATCACCTTCCAGCATTTAAACCAATAAACTTTATTATCAGAATTTGGCAACTGTTAAAACCTGTTCATAAGACGGCACAACCGCCATCAGCTCGGGGCCATTCCTTCCGTGTGAAAGTCCCGCTCAGGCACTTCATCGCTTGGCGGCTCCTCCCCCTGCGCTGGAGGTCTCCCGGCCCCTCCGTACTTTGACATCGCGCTACGCCCCGAGTCCTTGTCACTTGGCTGATTGGGCCCGCAATATGTCAAATCCTCAGACGCACAAGGCTGGATTGCGTACACACACACGACGCGCGGCTCTAGAAGTGCAAATTAATTAAAAAAAAGTTAAAGTGAAAATGTAAAACAGTGACAAAGGCAATTAAAACCCCGGCGCCTCCTTCAAAACCCGAAGACGCAGCTACGTCGCTCTTCCTCGGCGACCAGCGGTGGGTTTAGTGTAGAACGGAGTGGAGGTATCGGATAAAAAATGAACGGTGAAGTTTGTGGCGGCTCA